CCCAGCAGACTTAGTAAGTAGGTTATAAATAGCGTTCTAAGTACCCTAAATGGAGTTACACAAATTATAGCCCTACTTATAACCGACTTACTAAGCCGCCTGGGCCACCAAGTAGACCCAACGCCTGAAGCTCCCATATCAAACATGGCCAGCCTCCTGCGTCTTCTTGGCTGAGTTCACCTACCCCTCGACTCTTAGTTCCCTAAACTCTTTATACCCCTAGCCTAAAACTGAAACCCAAAACCGTGAACCAAAAGCCTGAACCTTGAGACCTGAATCCTTAAAAGAAAACCTCGAACCGTATACCTCCAACAAGCGAAAAGGCTCCCTGGGCTTCGGACGCCCAGAGCCGCATGTTGACGCTGTGTTGGAGGTCAGGCCTCAAGAGAATACAAGGAAGGAGGGCGTGCCGGGTCCAAGGGGTCTATAGGGTCTACAAGATCTACCGGACTTAGTCCGTAGGGGGCACAGGAGGCGGAGGAGTTGCGACGCGATAGAGTTTACGGGTTGGGCTTGGGGTTGTGGTTCAGCGTCTAGCGTCATGCGGTCGTCAGATTGATCAACTTTGCATTACTGACGATGGAAGTGACAGCGACAGTGGCAAAAGAGGTGCCGATGGTGCCCTTCGCAGACAACGCAGTGACCAAGGCTACCATGCGTGCTAGTGGTGCTGATGCTGCTGCTCCTGCTAGCAGCCGCGCCAATGCTAAACCGAACCCAGTTTCAACCCCTAAAGTCGAACAAAATAAACCCCTAAAGTCAAGAGAAGCTTCGTGCGACGCAACTCTCGCGGGAACATGTCCCCTAACAGAGGCTATAACTTTAATTATCCTACTTATAACTACCCATGAACCTCCAAGATAGGCCCTAAACCCCATATCCTTATAGAATCCCTATAGATCCCTTTAAAGGAACCCTTATAACTACCCATGAACCTCCAAGTGGGACGACCGATCCCTGCGGCGACGCGCCGAGGACGGTGCAGCGGCAACTCGTTGGGGTCGTACGGGAGGTAGGGATCCTGGGAAGGGTCTACTTTATGTATTGCCATATATATATATATATATATATATATATATATATATATACACACACACGTATAAAGAGAGAGATGGCATTAACATATATATATATATATATATATATATATATATATGTGTGTGTGTATAAACACTATATACATAGGTTGTATACATATGCTATGTATACATGTGCCATATAAACATATATGTCATGTGTATATATATATACACACATATGCTAAACGTTCGTACACGTTATAAGTACATACATAATATACTATGTCACATTAAGACATACTGTATTGTATTGTATATTAAATTACATTTTGCACACAAATATCAAACATTCTAGGTTGTATAATACATAATATTGTACGTGTATATGTATATCCACATATATATATATATACATATATATATATATATTCTACAGTCTACATCATATTTTCAAGATTACATAACATATCGTGTTATATTATACTGTATTGCGCTACATTACATTACAAAATTTTCAAACATATTTTATTACACTATACTATATGATATCATATCGTGTCATATGATGTACACTGTGTTTTAATTTTGTTATTCATTACATGGATAAATATAACTGTAGATGTGAATATAAAAATAACTATATCTGTTATAACCAGGACTATCCTGATTTGAACAGGGTTTCGGTGCAAATTATGGTTTCCTTGTTGGCTTTCTGGGGTGTAGTGTAGGGATTCGAGGTTTTTTCATGTCCTGCAATGACAGTGAACCGGTAGCCTACAACCAATGGAGGTGTAGCATGATCTTCAAATCTTGTTGGCAGTATCCCGTATTCAGGAATGTGTGTAACTACGCAATTCTGTATTTATGCTTGCAGTATCACGCACACTTGTATATATGGCCATGCTCATGCAGGGGGGGAGGAGCATAACTTGTGGCAATTTCAATGGCTCGTCCTGGAATAACAGAAAGATGATCGGAGATGAAGTCGAGCATGGCAATCACACTGGTAGCTGCATCTCCGAAGGCCAGATACTCATGCCCCTCCCTAGGCTGATAGCGGCTGATAGTGATGATGGAAACGAGAGCTGAAATTCTTTGACACTGACCTTTAAAACGTCGATATAGAAATATTTACATGCATTCGTAGTTACTTTTATATGCCTTTGCATTTTTATACATACATATACATACACATACATGCATACATACGTACACATACATACATACATACTTACTTACTTACCTACTTACATACTTCCAGATCTACTTAAATACATACATAGATACGTAAATACATACACACACGTAGCTTTTATGAGCGCGATGCGACTGTCGGTGATGATGAAGATGGTCATTGGCAGCTTCGCAAGTCCTCCAAGTTGTCGCCGATGTGGTTCAGTGCGTGGTAGCAGAACACCGACACGAAGACAAAGACCCCTGACAAAAGGGGTGCTTAGGGTCTAGGGTTTAAGGTGTAGGGTTCATAGGGGTGTATAGGAGTTTATGATGTTTTCTGAATCTTCGAGTTCTTTCCTGACCGATGGCAGGGACCCCTAAACCCGAAACCCGAAACCCTAAACCCTAAGCCCCAAGACCTAAAGCAGAAACCCGAAACCCGAGACCCGTAGCCGGAATCTTAGGAGCTCGCAGATCGTCTCAAGTCCTCGGTCCGAAGTCGCAGCCCCCTGCATCCTCGAAAGAAAGAGCGTGACGATAGATGCCACAGAATTCGAACCCCCGCCAAAGATCTGAACGGGAGCCTCAAAAAGACATAATTCTAGGGAATCCCGAAATATTAGAGGTATAGACTATGGCTCCTATATTACTCTCTAGGTTCTTGCCGTGGGCATGCTCATGATGCGGCCTGACATGCTGCTACGAAACATGTCGAACCCAGCGCCGGATGCTTAGAGCAGTGACTCGCTGCAAACTAGCACTATATGCTGTAGTTTAAGTATAGAGTTATGTGGTCTATGTTGGAAGAATACTCTTGATTCCTTAAGCCCCCTAAATGAAGGAAATCTGAAGTCTCGACCTCGAAGAGTCACGTCCATGATGATCCCGTTGATCAAAATGGGGCACAGGATTGTGTACATCCACCTTGGCAGGCTCTCGATGTGCTTCTGAAATTCGTGCCACTCTACCCTACCAGTGCGGCCCATAGGAACCCTAAATACGGCTACTGCTACTAAAACTTCCACTGCTGCTATTGCTGCGACGGCTACTACCAAACCGCGACCACTAGCAATACCACTACCACGATGATGACGAACAATACTAGTTCAACCACCACCGCGACGGCGACTACTGCTTCAACTGCTACTGTTACTACGGCGTTGACTTCGTTTGCTACTTCTACTAGCACCCCTCACTGGCGGGACTGTTCCCTGCCGTGTCTCATGGTTGGAAATGTGCATCTGTCGTTCTTGGTAATGCTGATGCTGTTGCTTTGTCTGCTATGTCTCGGAGTGTTTTTACTCCTGTTGAGAAAATGAAACTGAAGAGTTCTCAAAACTCTGGTCGGGTATTCAGGAATGCATATGACAAGGATCCTGTCATCTAGCCTGGGAGTGGTATACCCGGCGGTGCTGCTGTTGTTGCTGCTGCTGGCGTTGTTGCTGCTGCTGTTGTTGGTCGGTGTTGCGGTTGCTGTGGTTGCTGTGGTTGTGCAAGTGCTGTTGAAATTGCCTGGTGCGGTCATCACAACAGTAGTTTGACTCGTGTTAGTGTTCCTTGTTTATGTGTTATTGGTTATTGCCATTGGGTGCTAGTTCACCTGACGTGTACAGTAGGTTGCCGTTGCACGGATTTGCTGGCTGAGTCTGTCACTGTTGTTCTCTTGTGGCTTGAGATTGTTGCTACGGTTTTTACAGTTGTTGCGAATCTTCTTGCTCCGGCCTTGCTGTCCTCGTGGGCTTTAGTTACATTGCCTGTCATAAGACTTGGGACTTCGGGCTTGGAGTTTATTTTGCTGTATCCACATACCACCGCCACTAGTGAAAGTAACGCTACTGTGTCTGCAGTTGCTACTACAGCTGCTATTCCCACCGTCGCGGTTGCCACGTGTGCTGCTACTGCTATAGCTGTCGCTTCTGCTGTTGCTGCTTTCTGTGCTTGCTGCTTCTTGCAACGGAGCTCTTGAACTTCGAACAAAAGCATCTGACTTCCAGCCTGTAGTACTTACGTCCCCGATGTAATAGGGTATATACCGGATTGAAGGTCCTTCATCTGGCCCTCGCACCTAGGACCTAGGGCTCTGAGTTCCTTCCAAAAAGTCCCCCCGATGGTTTCAGACTCCGGGTTCCCCACAGGAAGACGGCGATGATGTTGTGGTATGGGAACGGAAACGGTGTAATTGCCACCTGGCGGCGCTTCAGGGTTTTAGGGTTTTAGGGCTTTAGGGTTACAGGGTTTAGGGTTTAGGGTTACAGGGTTTAGGGTTTAGGGTTTAGGGATATAGGGTTTAGGTAGCCGGCGCAGGAAAGCCCCCGAAATCCTAACCTTAAGATGACCCTGCGTGTGATCCTGGCTGATCAGCTATGCAGAAGCCCGACGCCTCTTTTGCTGTCCACGTCACACCAGCTTCTGCTCTCCGAATTGAGCTCTGGGGAAAATGGCGCATATAGGGGCCTCAATCGTTACATGGGGGCTTTGGGGGGGTATATTATCTAGGTAGAACCTATAAAAAAGAACGCAAGGACTAGTGTTGGATAGCATTCTGGCCCCTATATTGCTGGCGAGGCATATGCCACCCACAGGGCTCAGATGCTACAAGCAGTGGCAGAAGCTTGCTTTCGAAACGATGAAGGAAGGAAAAGTGCCTGAAATGCACCGCTGGTGAGGTCCACCTGTACGTCGCGCCGCGCCGAGCTACTTGTCTGTCCAGGGGCTTCGACTTCGTCTTCTTTCTGAATCTGTACTTGTACCAGGAGAGGGTTATTGAAAACCCTCTTCAAAAGAAGTTCCATAGCCAGCAAGGGATCAAGACACCCTGCACCGGTGACGATCGCCTGTAGGCTCGAGTCCCGTGGAGGGGAGCTGGCGCTTCAACTCCCCGGAGTGGCCCGCGGTGGCATAGACCAGGCTGTCTGCAGACAAGATATGCATGCGGCAGAGCATGTAATTCAGAGCCTCCTCAGTCCTCAGTTGATTTGAATTTTATAAAGCATGATATAGCATATCATAATATAATATATCCCTGACAAGACTCCCTACATTAGTATCCTTCTCTTCATAACCTGACATATGAAAGCGTTTTCTTCGTCACTTCCCAAAGTCATCCGCCCCTCCTCGTCGTGGCAGTAGCTGTGCAGCCAGGCCTCCCTCCGACTTTCTTCCGAAAATTCGGTGCGGAAGCCAGGAGGTACCTGCACCTGGGTAGTTCTCTAACTTACGGTCCCTCTCAGGCCCCCCAAATACTACGGCAGCCTTGTAGCCCTAAACCCTCAACCCTAAACCCTAAACCCTATACCCTCAACCCTAAACCCCATACCCTAAACCCTAAACCCTGAACCCTCAAAAGGGACACCAGTTTGGAGAACCACTTAAAGGATCATGGGACTTAGTAACTAGGGTCCTAAATAAGGTAACTATACATATAACTACTTATACCCCCAATTAGGGTACCTATAACCTTACTTACTAAGTCCCCTGATCCTCCAAGTAAACCCTAAACCCTAAACCCCATAGATCCCTTTAAGGAACTCTATAGATCCCTTTTCTAAGCACCCACCTTGAGCCAGTCCAGGAGCTTCTCGCGGAGAGCCTGAAAAGCTGCAGGGAGCGGATTTCCCATGGCTTTTGGGGGACTCGGGGCTCCGTTAAGGTTCCTGAACCCCTACACCCTAAACCCTTAGGGTTTAGGGCCTGTTTAGGAGTTTTGGAGTTTAGGAGTTTAGGGGTTTGGGGGTTTAGGGGTTTTAGGCTCCTAGAATCTAAACCTCTGCACTTAGGTTTCGCTCTAAGGTCCCTTGCAGGCACACTTTGTAAGAGCTCGATACTGCACTAGGGTTTTGGGGCCCGTGATACTATATTTATACTAAGGAGCTCCCCCAAAACAGTATAAGTGTCCAACCCAGAGATCCACTACCCTTTAATTAAGGAATATACCTTAAGCCATAATATAAAGCTCCTCTATGGTTTAGGGTATATTGCTTAATTAATGGATATTGGGAGTCGTGGGGCTCTGGGAGGGCCCTTGATGGATTTCGCCCTAAACCCTAAACCCTGAACCCTAAACTCTATGCCCAAAGCCCTAAACTCTATGCCCTAAACCCGAAACCCTGAACCCTATGCCCCAAAACCTTAAAGGCGTTTTCTATTTTATGGATTTCGCCTGAGGGGCCTGGGACCCTTTGGCCTTGGACTCCAAGACCTCGCGGCGCAGAACCTCCCGGATCCTCGGCTCTTGTTCTTATACTCCATACCTAGGGTTTAGGGTTTAGAGTTTAGAGTTTAGGGTTTAGGGCTTAGGGTTTAGGGCTTAGGGTTTAGGGCTTAGGGTTTAGGGTTTAGAGGGGTATTGGGCTCTTCTTAAGGGGCGTATAGCTTAAGTTACCATAGTAGGGATGTGTAGTAAACGCTCTTGGTCTCAGAGACCCCAATACCCCTTAGTTACTCAATTAAGGGCTTAGGGTTTAGGGTTTAGGGTCCTTTAGAGACCGCAATACCCCTTAATTAGGGAATATAGCCTAAATCATCATATGAAGCTCTCTTATGATCTAAGGTAGAGTCCTCAATTAGGTGGTATTGGGCTCTTGCTAAGGGACTTATCATCTAAGTTTCCGTGGTAGGGACCTACAGTAATAATGGGATTTCTTGGCTAAATAATAGGGTTTCTTGGTTATGGTAACTTAAAGTAAGTTCCTTCAGAAGAACCCAGGATCCGGGTCGGCGTGTAGGTAGCGAGCAGCCGTGCCTTGCAGGGGTTTAGAGTTCAGGGTTTCTTTAGGGTTTAGGGTCTAGGGCCATACTGCGACGTACAAAGACGCAGGAAACTCCCAAAACCCTAATCCCCGAAACCCTGATCCCCAAACCCTGAACCCTAAACACGCTTAACCGCTTAACCTCTAAACACTGCGTGACTTCGTGACTTTGCCTTGAGCTGATCGGCCCGCAAGCCGCTGTCCATGGTCAAGTAGGTAAGCCGATGTGGGTCCTCTTGCGGCTTCGGCTGAGGGCTTCTGAGGGCTGCGTGCGTTGCTGAATTTTCATAGGGCAGAGCTTCAAAAGTTGCAACTTCCGAAGGCTGCAGGGCTTCTGTGTACTTATGTAGATGCAGGCTTCGATGCAAAGCAAAAAGGGTCCTGGCGTGCGGTGAGCTGCTCGGCGAGGCCAAAGTGGACGCTTGCATAGAAGTGGCTCTCGAAATGCATGTCTGCTGCGCTCTGGAGAGCCCCCTTGGTGGAGTGGAGTACTCCCTCCGCCATCTGCCGGCGCTCGTTGTAAAGCATGCGGAGGATGGCATCCTCTGCATCCAAGGCATCGTCGCATGTTGCCTCTCCGGTGACCATGTCGTGCATGTTGTGAATCTCCCGTTCCCAGCGGTAGATGCAGTCATCCACACACTCTGCATACTGGCGCAAAACTGCTTCCAGCACCTCTTGACTGTTTCAAAAGAATTACGGGTGGCTCGTTGTCTGCGTTTGGAGTTCTTGCACCCAAAACTGCAAACCGGGAGAACTCCAGTACCAAGGGACAAATGAAAACCAAAAAAACCTCAAACCCTAAAGACGTTTAGGGCTTGTAGGGTTTAGGATTTAGGGTTTAGGGCCCCGAACTCTCAACCATGCCCTCAAGCCCAAAAAGCCCAAGCAGAACCTGCGGCTGATCCGTCTCCAGGTGATCCAAGGTCTGATGGATCAAACAAGCCAGTTCTCGATACTTCTTCGACCTGACGTGGAGCCACTGTCTAGGGTTTAGGGTGTAGGGTTTAGGGCCAAATCTTCGAGAAGTAACTCGTTCCCAGCTTCCGCCCCCACCGAAGCCCGAACTCAAGGTGTTCCGGCGAGGCGTTCCCTCACGAAGCCCCAAACCTCTAAGGCCTAAACTCCTAAACCCGAAACCTTAAACCCTAATCTTAAACCCAGAACCTTGAACTCAAAACCCTGGCGCCGCCAGCCTCTCTTGGGAAGCCCTCGGCGCGCCCATGACGGAGACGTTCTGGGCCTCAGCTGCACATAGGCTTTAGTGTTTAGGGAACCCCCAAATCGAGCCCCCAAATCGAAACTCGTCTCAGCGATGGGGCCGGTAGGTCACAAGTGTTCCGAAAGCCTCTCCTGAACAGACAGCCCATCCCCCACTTGCTGAGCCCTGCAGCCGCTAGCCCTAAACCCGAATCCCACTCGCCCGAAGACCCCGAGTAACCCTCTGGCAGGATGCTAGCTTCTCAAGGAGACGTCGTGCGCCCTCCAGAACTTTGCGAGGCAATGCCGATGGCCTGCTCAGGCGAGGAGGAGGAGGAGGAGGAGGAGGAGGGAAGGAGGGAAGGAGGGAAGGAGGGAAGGAGGGAAGGAGGGAAGGAGGGAAGGAGGGAAGGAGGGAAGGAGGGAAGGATGGAAGAGGGGAGGAGGGAGGAGGAGGAGGAGGATGGGAGGAGGGGAGGTGGGAGGGGAGGATGGGAGGAGGGGAGAGGGGGAGGAGGGGAGGAGGGGAGGAGGGGAGGAGGGGAGGAGGGGAGGAGGGGAGGAGGGGAGAAAAACGATATATGTAGTAAGAATCGAAATTGACCTCTCAGTGGCAATAATATTAAGCATGAAACAAAAATAAATTGGATTGTTAGAAGCGTGTGAGTTCCGTTGAAGCCAGTCGGCAAGGAGATTCACCACACCCAGCTGCATTGAAATGGAACCAAGACAGTCAAATCGGAATGAAGTAAAACGAGGTGTCACGAGACGAAATGAAATAAGCTGTAAAACGAGCGAAAGTGAAACTGAGTGTCAGCGAACCCAATGCTAACAATGATATTAAATACAGCGATTATTTTCATACTAGTAACGGTAACAGTAACACATCAACCTCATCGTCCTGGGAGCTGCAACAGATTCCCTCCCCAAGCCCTCAACCCCAACTCGGAACCCAGGAAATCGGCCTTGCAATGCGATCTACACGCTCCATCAAGAGCTCTGGACCACGCTGATCTTCACTGGTGATCCTCGATCTCTGGCATTCACCAAGATCGAGAGAACAAAAGGACTCACTGCTAAGCATATGGTAAATGGGCGATTTGGAGTCCCAAAACCCTAAAGCCCCACATGGGGTGGCGATCTTCGAAAGTTCGAGATGCCTCAAGCTTGGGGCGATAAAGCTTAGGGCGTAGAGGTCAATGTCTTAGCCATAAGCAGTGCATACCATGGGTCAACTTGCCCTCAGCAGTAGACACCCAAGACCCAGCCGAAGGACAAAGGCCGCTCTAGTTGATCCTCGCATGTTGCAGCTAAGTGTCTCCTTTGCCGCCTTGAACACCTTCTGCTTCTCCTCCGACGCAAGAATCAGTTATAGCATGTTATAGCATATTATACCATCTTTTTAGACACCCTAAACCGAGGTTCCTCTTCCCTAAACTCTATATACCCTAAACCCTTGAATCCCTAACCCATTCTACTAGACTAGACTCCAGTACGTTGGTGGCATCAAAGAACGGCTAAGTCTCCGCAAGGCACTGAGGGAGGCAGTGGGCGAACCCTTAAAGATACTATGGGGGCCTTAAGAATTAGAATAGGGTTCCTTTGTAGGGGTCTAGAAGGGCTACTATAAGGGCTGTTGAAAGGATTTAGTATAGGGGCCTTAACAATTAGGAAAGGGTTCCCAAAAAAGCGTCTCTTACAGGGTTCTATTGTAAATATAGGGAATTAGTATACGGGCCTTGATAATTAGAATAAGCTTTTGCGGCCCATTACACTCTGGTTATAAAAACGAACCCGCAAATCTTACAGTCGATGGTCTTCCCCGACTGTCTCCATGGGAACTCAAAGTCAGGGTGTGTTGAGCTCCTGCCCAGCAAGGGACAGATGCGATGAGTCCAGGGACCTTGGCTGAGCTCGGAAGAAGTACAGATGATCGTAAAATGCCGAAACCATTCTCCTACTCCCATTTTCATACCCCTCTCCCTCCCTCCCCCTGCTACCCTACCCCCTACTCCCCCTCCTGCTCCGACTCCTCGCCTACAGCTGCTGCTGGCGCTGGTGCTCTCTCACAACGACTACAAGTAAAGCTGCTCCTGCTGCTGGTGCTGCTGCTGCTGGTAAAGGTGCCCCGACCTCACAGACTGCAAGGCCTCGCGCCTTCAAAGTCCCTTTCACCGGAGTCCGGACAGTTTCGCGCCGAGGTGCAGGAAGGACTCGCCGTCACCGAGCGCAGCCCACAGCCGGTAGAAGGCATTTTCGCTCAGCGCCTGCAAGCAACCGGAGGACATCAATTCGACTCGTACTGGAAACTGTCAGAAGAAACAAGGCAGACAGGTTCTGATAAGTATCGCAATGGCATGACCAAAAACGAGAACAGCGCAACCCATAAAACCCCGCAATGCCAGACGAACAGCACAGGTTACTGCTTCGTTGCTGCTGTGAACCTGTCGCCGGTGGTGCTTGTGGTGGTGCTGCTGGTGGTGGTGGCGGCACTGGTGGTGACGTGAGGGCAGCGACGGCGTTGGCGGGCGGCAATAGCGACAGCGGTGCTGGTGGCGGCGCTGTGGTTGTTTGGCCGCGGCGCCGGTGGCAGTGGCAGTAGTACTCGCGATGCTCGTGGTGCTGGTAGCACTCCTGCTCGTGGCAGTCGTGGCAGTCGTGGTGCTCGCTGTGGTCGTGGTAGCGGCTGTTTTGGTGTTCGTCGTCCGCAGCATTGTCGTGGCCGACCGTACGCAGATACTTCAATCACCATACAAGAACAAGGCCAGAGCTACTTAAGACCCTGCGAAGCTTCCGTAGCACTGGGATTAGGATTAGGATGCAAAGGTCAGTCCAGTACCTTCCACATTTGAAGTCAAATTTCAACGCGGTTTCCTGTCGGGAAGCAACCCCTGCATTTAAGCCGTTCAGCCCTGCGACCCCCAAGTCCCGCACCCTACACTGTACACATCATTTGACCCAGAGTTCATAGAGCCCAAAACCCCAAATACCACACCCTAAACTCTAACGACGGGCCCTGCACAAAATGCGTATGAACTCGAAGTCTGTGGGATCGGCTGTGGAGCCTGGCCTGCCACTCCTTCGAAAGCTCTCCAGGAAGTTCTTCCTGGAAGCTGTGCGCCCACGATTGGGTTTACGAGTTTCTTGCGTTTGTTTGATAGCCTTTTTCGTCCGCTTAGGCAGCAGAAGCTCTTCCAGAGAAGGCGGTGTTGCACCTAGGTCTCGGGTTTTGGGATTAGACTTACGCCCTAGGGTTTAGGCGGGCACCTGTGCTCATTATGCTTCTTTCCAGTTTTACTGCTACTGTTGTCTACATTGCTGTGATGGCTAATTACGAGTGTCAATGCTGCTCGAATCGTTCTTACTTCCATCATGCACAATGCTGCTGACCTTTCTGTTTCACTTGCTAGTGTTACAAGAAGAATGCCAGACATGTGAGCTGTTGTTGCGAACACTCCTCCCATTTTGGGGTTCGGCGCTGCTGCCGACACGCGATGATGAAAATTCCTCGTTAAGGTCGCCAGCTGGGATGCTGATTACGGAACCCGAGCCTAAGTGCTAGAACGACCGCCAGGGTGTCTAAGAGGGCCCTTAAGACACGACTGAAGAGTGGTGGTGATATCGGCGCATCTTTTCTTAAACCGTCACCCGGGCCCTCCACCGCAACGCGCTCCCCCTTGCAGGAGAAACACCAAAGCCTGCAACATCCTGCTACATTGCCATCGCATGGCTGAGGAAGTGGGTCGCCATAAAACTGGGAGCTTGCCCCGCAGCACTCATGAGTTTAGGGCTTAAGAATTATGGCTCGGGGTTTCGGGTTTTGGATTTGGGGTTTAGGAATTTGGGGCTGGTAGTGTCCTTCCAGCACTTCATATTGCACTTCAACAGATATCGGAGTCGGATACCTCAAACCCGGAACCCCTGAAAAAATGAACCCGGACGCCCGCAACCCGATACCCAGAGCCTTAAGCCCTCAACCCAAAGCCCTGAGAGAACCCACAAGGGCCCCTTCTAGAGCCCTTATAGCCTTACAGAGTCTTAGAACAGCATAAAACTACACGCCCTCTAAACCTGCCCCTTTCCCCCGGCTTCCCGTCCTGGGACTGCTTCTCGCAGTCCGCCACAAGACAGACTTGTGAGCCTTGGAAATGCTCTTGCCCTACTTGTCGGGTATCATGCGGAGCTGAAGGTTTCCTTTTTTGATTATATGGGGATTATAGAGGGGCTATCCTACCCCAAAAAGGTTAAGGGTTACCTACTCTGCTACTAGGTTGCTCTTTCTTTCTATCAAGGGGTTCCTCGAAGGGTATATTGGGTTTGGGGTTGGGGCTATTTAGGGATTAGGTTTCTTTCTATCAAAGGTCTCCTCGAAGGGTATACGTTTGGGGTTGGGGCTTTACGGGGTTTAGGGTTCTGGGTTCAAGGTTTAGGATTACAGGGTTTTTGGAAGGGTATAGTCTTTTGGGGTTGGGGCTGTTTAGTTAAGGTTCCTTAACGTTTATTTAGTTAAGGTTTTTTAACGTTTTGTAAGGTTCAAAATTTTCTGGTTTGGGGCTTCGGGTTTTGGAGCTTGGGGGCTCTGGGGCTCTCAGGTTTCACGGCCTAGGAGGAATGTTAAGGCTCTCGACTCTAAGAGCAACCTAGGAATAGCAAGGGTGCCCTTTTTGGTTTAAAAGGGGTTATAAGGGAACCTAAACCCTGAAAAAGGGAATAAGGGCTACTCTGGGCCCCTGGTCGAAAAAAAACGCAAACCCAGGGCGCGTAAAGTAAGGCCCAGGGGCCGATGACTTGCTGCTTCTAAAGCTACGGATCTAAGGACTCATATGTTAAGGCTCTTGGGCCACTTGGGCCCAAAAGACTGTACTAGATACAGTAAGGCTTTTGGGCGATTTTGATCCCTAGGGTAAGGCAGGTTGGTTATAGAACACGAGCAGCTGCCAGCAACCTTTTCTAAGTCACTTAAAGCCCTAAGTCCTGAAGCCGAAGTTCAGACTGATCAGACTAGCTCTGACAACAGGGTCACTTGGTCGAAGCTTGGCTCAACCACAAGGCTGGCTGCCTTGGGTTTAGGGTTTTGGGTTTAGGTACAGCGCTTTAGGGCATAGTAATTCGGGGCAAAGAAGTCAAAAAGCCACAGATGAGTGCAAGGACTTCGGGCATCGGGCCCAGAGGCCCGAAGTACACAACCTCACAACCAAAATCATACAGCCCTAGACCCTTCACCGCTGAACCCTCAGAATTCTGAACCCCCTGAAGCCGAAGGGTATAGCTCCAGCGGCAGTGCGACCGCCAACCCGGGTAGTTTGGGCAGCGCAGCACTACCTGAACACAGCGGGTAAACAATGGATAATTAATGTTGGGGCCATCCGAAAACCTATGCCCAAGGAGTTCAACACCACCATACATGGAACCTTCCACTCCAACACCCTAAAAACCCACCAACCCCAAAACAGCCCCGCACCCTGAAGCCTTTAGGCCTTGCTTCACAGCTTCACAGGCCCGATGCTCGCCCGCGGTCGAAACGACTCGGAGCCTAGATACGGGGTCATAAACCTAGGGGCCCTGCATATGTTGAGGCCTTAAACTGTGAGGGTCTACACGTTTTACATTAAATCCACTGCGGCAACAAGACCTGACTGCCATACCGTCCCTGGTTTCGCAAGACTTATAGTCGAAATCCTAGTACATGGGTTTCAACAACCAGCTAAACCCGACCACAACCCTAAACCCCGACCCCTCATTTCTAAACGGTCTACTTTTTGGGTCTCCCTATTCCCTCGGTTGGGCCTGGAAGACGTCCCCAGATTGCTAAACCCTAAACCCCTGAACCCCAAACCCCTAAACCCTCAACCCCGAAACCCCGAAACACTAAACCCCTAAACCAACCCGAAACCCTAAACCCCCCGAAACCCCCCGAAACCCCTCTAAACCCTTCTCAGCCCTATTCCCTCCGGGACCTGGAAGACGTCCCCAGGTTGAGGAGCATAAGGGCCCTCCAGCGATGGGGACGTACTGCGGTGCATGAGGCTTGAGCTCCTGGGTTGCCGGGAGTCACAATAACAATGATAATTGCAAATAACAGTACCAACAATAACAACAGTAATAATACCAACAAAAACAACAATAATAATACGAGATATAACTATCAACAACTGTAGTAATAAGAAGATGTGAAAAAAAGAAAGAACAATAGTTGATCATAGTCAGAGTCATAATCATAGTTGTCAGAGCTTAGAGGGCCAGGCTTTGATGCTTTTGGCCTTGGAGCTCTGGGCCTTTTGGGGCTATCAGGGGGTAAGGTCTTTAAACTTTAGGGTTTAGGGTTCAGGGAATAGGATTTATGGTTTAGGGTTTGGTTATTAGGGCTTAGGGTTTAGGGAATAGGATGTAAGGTTTAGGGTGTCGGCTTTAGTCATTAGGGCTTAGGGTTTAGGGCTTAGAGATTAGAAACTGACTTAGTACATCAAACTACCAAACGCTACTTTACCGTACGCTCTTACTATACAGCTATGTGAAGTTATATGGAGTACTTGTAAGGACCCTACACGAAAGTAAGGTTTGGTAGGTTACGCTACGGTTTAAGGTGTCGAGACTTAGAGGGGTTCTGGAGTTTGACGGTTTAGGCCTCATGAGCCTTAGGGCTCGAAGGATTTAATACCATGTGCCTTTTAAATACCACTAGAATTCTTTTCTGGGGGGGGGGGTCCTTGTTCTAATTATAGTATAGTTTGCTCCCAGACCCTATTCTACTTATTAAGGCCCCTGTATCAGCTAGCAGCTAGCTGCCAAATATTTCAGCGAAGAGTCCGTCGACGGTCGTAGACGACACTGACGATGGGTGTGACATCGTCCTCGTTTCTGTCCCACGCCCAAGTGATGAACTGCTTTTCATCGTGCTGCTGCTGCTGCTGTTGCCGCGACCCACTACTTACTACTCGGACGACGACGACGACCACGACCACAGCGGCCGCGACCGCGACGGACTATGGCGACAGTACTACTCTTGGCAATCGGAGATCCTCGGCAGGGCTCTTGAAATGTGTCACAGTCTGCTCACCCTGAGACTTCCAAACTCCCCGGTATTCGGGAGCACCGAGGGACAGCAGCAAGATTTTCAGGGCACTCGAAAGATCCTAATATAGGGGCCTCAACAATTAGAATAGGGTTTCGGGGTATACTAAATGTATGTTATACTGTACTTATACTAAGGAACCACCTTGCCACCTGGCCCTGTCCTCCAAGTCGCCTGGTGTTCCGCTCCGCTGCAGATAGACAAGGAGGCCGCTGT